TTCCGTTGGTTCACTCCCTAAATGGCCGCTATGACCGGTGCTGTGCCCATCTGAAGCCAGGAGCCAGGTGCTTCTTCCTGGTCTCCCACGCGGGTGCAGGGCCCAAGCACTTGGGCCATCCTCCACTGCTTTCCTGGCCACAGCAGAGAGCTGGACTGGAAGAGGAGCAACTGGATCTAGAACCCGGCACCCATATGGGATGCCGGTGCCACAGGCGGAGGATTAACCAAGTGAGCCACGGCGCCGGCCCGGAAGAACGTTCTTTTCAACAAATGGTGCTGGAGCACCTGGGTTTACATATGCAAGTGAATGAAGTTGACTACTTTTCCTCATGCTATCCACGAAAATTAACTCAGAGTGGATTCTAGACATAAATATAAGAGCCATAACTGTTAAACACTTAGAAGAAATAGAGGAATAAGTATTCATGGCAATGGTTCCTTAGATATTGACACCAAAAGTAAAAATAGATACATTAGGCTTCATTGAAATTCAAAACTTGTGTGCTTCAGTTGAAAAGTGAAAAGACAATCCACAGGATGGGAGAAAATATTTGCTGAGCATGTACCCGATAAGACATTTGTACAGAGAATACGTAAAAGAACCTCTATGAGTCAACAATAAAAAGACAGGTGCAGACATTTGGTACAATGGTTAAGATATTACTTGAGACATTCTCCACTCATAATGGAGTGTCTGGTTTCTAGTTCCAGATCCACTCTTAATTCCAGCTTTCTGCTAATGTGCACCCTGGGAGGCTCAGTGATAATTAAGTAGTTAGGTCCCTGCTACCCATGTGGAAGAAGTGGTTTGAGTTCCTGGCTCCCAGTCACTGTGGTCATTTGGCGAGTAACCAGCGAGAGCTCTCTCTATGTCTTTTCTGTCTTTCAAATACAAATAAAAAAATAAAGTTAAATGACAATTCAGTTATAAAATGGCAAAGGACATGAGGCCTTGCTCTAAAAATGATGTACAAATAGGCAGTAAGTGCATGAAAAATGCTCAACATCGTTAATCATTAGAGAGATACAAATCAAAATTATGACATACTACATCATACTCATTAGGATGACTGAAATCAAAATGAGATAATAATTACGTTGGCAAGGATGTAGAGAAATTGGAGCCTCATGCATTGATTACGGAAAGGTAAAATGATGCAACCATTTAGAAAATGTTTTGACAGTTCCTCAAAACATTAAACATATGACCTGGCAATTATACTGGTAGGTATAAACTCAAGAAAAATGGTCATATGGCTCCATGAGAACCTGCACACAAATGTTCCTAGCAACAGTATTCATACAAAATCATAGAAATAATCCAAATATCTACCACGTGATGAATGGATAAACACAATACGATATGCACAACACAATGGAATGCTACCTTGCACCAAAAAGGGCTGCATTACTGAAATATATTGTAATGTGAATGACCTTTTCAAACACTGTTATAGTGGCCAGTCACAAAAGAACAACTATTGTATGATTCTGTTCATATGAAATTTCCAGAATAAACTAAAATGATAGAGACTGAAAGTAGATTAATGTTTGCCCAGGGCTGAGGGACAGCGTTGTGGGGGGAGGATGGGGACTTAGTGGCAAAGCCTTTCTTTTTTGGTGTGATGAAAATATTCTAAAATTGGGCTGAGGTTATGGTCCACATCTTGTGAATACACTAAAAATTACTGCTGTTTACACCATAAATGAGTGAATTTTTTAGAATGGGAATTACGTCTCATTAAAAATGTTAAAAAAGGAGAAAATATTAAGCGTGAAGTTACAAATCCACTCCTAAGAGTCTACCCAAGAAAAATGAAATATCTGTGCATGCAAAGTTTTCTTTGTTGCAAATGTTAATCACAGTGTAATTCATAATAATAAAAACTGGAAACCATTTAAATGCTCATCAACTGCTTAATGTACTAATGCAATGTAGTATATCTATACAAAGGATTCTGGTATCCAATAAAAGGAAATGAATTAGTGATACATGCTACAGTACAGATGATCTTCAAAACATGCTCCGTGAAATAAGCCATACACAATAGGATATAAATTCATTGGTATGAAACATGTAGGAAAAGCAAATCTACATAGAGAAAGAAAATTGGTGAGGTGAGGACAGAAGAAAGGATTAACTGCAAATGGGCAAGATAGACATTTTTGGGGTGATGGCAAGGTTCTAAAATTAGATTGTTGTGATGGATGCAAAATTCCATGAATCCACTGAAGTGATTTGATTATATATCATGCAAGATGAGTTTTATGTTATTACTTTATATCTTGATAAAATTGGATTTAAAAATTTGGTTTCTAATCCCTCAAAAGACAATAAGTACTGAGAGAGTGAAAAAGCAAGTCATAGACTTGGAAAAAAGGTGGCAAAGCACAGATTTGATGAAGATTTCCTACCTGTAATATATAAGGATACCCCGCAAACCAATATGGAACAAACACTTCAATAAGAGAGCACAGAGCTTCAGGCATTTCACAACAAATACACAAGAGGTTAATTGCCCCCCCCCCCAAAAAAAAAGAAAGAAAAAGAAAAAAAAAAGAGGCTCACCACCATTTATAACCACTTACTTGCAAATTACTACTGTTGTTTTAGTAGACTGAAAGGAGTGACAGTACCAAATGTTGGCAAAACTATGGAGCAAGAGTTACCTTTAAGGGTAGTAGTTTGGTAGTAGTTAAGGGTAGTAGTTTGGTACAACTACCTTGAAATACTCTCTGGTAGACACCAGTGCTGAATATATGTAAGCCTGAAGCTCAGCAGTTCCAACCCCCAGTATACAGCCTTAGGAGATTTGGTGCTTATGTCAACTGAAAGACAGAGATAAGAATATTCATAGAAGCATTATTTTGAAAAGAATCAATTCAGATATAATGCAAATGTCCATCAGTAGTAAATCTGATAAATAGTAATAGTCAATAGTAAATGGTAATAGTCATAGTAAATTTGTATGATAGTAATACAAGGACTACTATCTAGAAATAAAATAATAAAGTTACAGCTTTGTGCAATAAGGATACAACATTGAGTAAATGGTGCCAGAGAGAAGAGTATGATATTTCTAGGCCAAAACTTCCTATTGTGATAGAGGTCAAAATGCTAGTAACCTTTGTGGGTGAGTCTTGACTGGGGATCTGCTGGGATATTAGAAATGTTACGTATCTTGATATGAGAAGTGGTCAAATGGGTGTATGTGTGTGTGTATGTGTGTGTGTGTAAATCTTTTTGAGCTGTACATATATTTGCACATTTTACTGTGTGCATTTCCTAATATGATAATAAAAAAAGCAAGAACAGATTCCTCCATCTGCTTCATTTTGACAATGTAAACATAGGACATACAGCCTAAAAACTAATGAACAAATTTTAATTTGTGAAATGAGTTAGAACACAGTTCAAAGAATAGGGAGGGGGGTGGAACTTTCTTCCATATAACTTTTCATTTTTTTTATTTTTTTATTTTTTTTAACTTTTATTTAGTGAATATAAATTTCCAAAGTACGGAATATTGATTACAATGGCTTCCCCCCCATAACGTCCCTCCAACCCGCAACCCTCCCCTTATCCATTGTTTTAGTGTTAAAAATTAAATTATAATAAAATAGAAACAATTTCTGGGAGATAGTGGCAGAAACAGAGGTTGATGACTAATTTCACAACTTTCAGTCTCCCTTAGCGCTCACGTGGGGCTATGGGACTAGTATTGGCCCAAAGGCATTAAATTGAAGTCCCTGGGTTGAATCCTACAAGGGCTGGTTTGACTCCTCCCCATGCTCTCTCTTCTGCTGTGGCAACACAGGGGTCACAGCCTCAATGGTGGAGCCACAGGCTGGAGGCTTCCTGGATTTCCAAGTCACCACACAGAACACAAGCGCACAGAAGTGTTATTTATCTACCTCCCACTGGAGCTTTTGAGATTGAGAAAATCAACCTTTGGATTTGAAGGTTCACTTGTTGCCTCAGGCCTCTGCAAAGCCTCACCTGCTCTGCCCAATACAGTCCAGGTATAAAATTGTGATGGTTGATTGAGAGGGAAGAGACATACTGGCTATGTTAGGAGGTTTGGGGAGAGAAATAAAGCTTTTCTGTGGTTTTGAGAAGAGTAAAAATGGTACAATTTATAGAATACTAGAGTTAAGAAGAAAACGAGAGATATTATCTTATCCCTTTCATTTTAAGATAAAGAAACTAGTGTCAGGCAGACTAAAGATTACACTGGGACCAGATGCATGAAGAGTTACTGGTAGAGACAGGATTGTGACTGCAGTTTCCAAAGCCTTTAGCATAGCCTCCGGGCTGAGCTAAATCTCTTGAGAGCAGCTGAACGTTTGCTTAGAGTCCTTTAGGAAACTGAACTTCTTTTAATTTCCTGATAAAAGTTTTAGATGACAACGGCACTATCTGAGCCCCCATCGATTTCTGGCCCCTGATTCTGAGAGCACAACAATCCTCTTTCCTTTCCTTCCACCAAGACAGTTCACCATGGGTACCCTGAGGTGGAATAATCAGGAAACATGAAATATTCCTGCTAAGAATTTTATTCCTTCCTCTTTGATCGGGGTGGGGGAGCAGAAAACAACCTCTTCCTCCCCCTGCATTGGTAAAGGTAAGAATAGGAAATAAATACTCAGGCCTTGTTTTGAATGAATGTCTAGAGATCCCAGGTCATTTTGGCATTGATTTAATCCTTTGATTTGTAAAATTCCTTTTTGCTTCAGCATTGGTCAAGACATCATCTCCCCACCTCCCATCCCAATCCGAGATTCTCTATCTGCAATTTAGGTAATCTCCTCTCTGTGTCTTCCTTGGGCTCATATTGTAAATGCCTTGTCCTTACCTCTCATAGCTCCACTTCTCCATCTCTGAGCTGTGACCGTCACTGAGGTAGAGCCTCCTGACTCTTCTTGTTCACCTCCACCCTGGCCTCAGACATCAAAGGAGGTCATTGTCACATCACCACTGGCCAGCCAATCAGGATGGCCCCTTCCTTCAATGACCTTCACGTCCTGTAGGAGTTCTCAGCCAGTGTCAATGGAAGGAGGGAGTCAAGAAAGAGGCCTGGTTTTAGTCCAAAGATGATCATTACAACATGGATTGTGTATATTCTCGCCCGGAAAGGTGCAGGGCTCCCCTTTCCACCAAAGACCAGCTCGGTAAGCAGCACTGGTGGTAGCCGTGTGGGATTGCTCCTCGTGTATCTTCTCCTACTCAGTGCCCCTGCTGCTCACACATGGACAGTGCTTCACCCAGAGATCTGGTGGGGGGTCTCACAATATATAACCTGGGTTAAGAGAGGGGGAGGAGCTGGGTGTCTAGGTGTTCGGAGGTCATCAAGTTACCAATTTGTTCCAGGACATTGAAGTCGTGGAAAGTGAGGCTGTATCTGTGGTACAACATTGGTTGAAAAAAGTAAGTAAGATTTCTCCATGACTCAGAGTATCCTACATTTTGAGTCTGGACTCCTCTCTCTGTGGAGCTGGGAAACTCAAACTCATTGCCGCATGGTCTACCTAGTACCGAGTCTAATTCACCCCAATGTGCTCCAGGACAATGCGGCTGTGTCCTGGCAGGAGATGGGTTGTTGCTCTCACCAACCCCTCCTGCTTCTCAAACATCCTGGACTGAGGGATTCAGCCCAAGGTGTCTCAGGAACACTGGACACAGGGCCAGGGACCTAGGGAGAAGATATCAGAGCAGAGGAGCTTCTAGCAGGGACTGTGAGCTACCCGGGCATGTGTGTGCATGTGTGGCATGGGTGGCTGTGATGGAAATAGAATAAAAGAGAGAGAAGAGGAGAGCTGGTCTTGGGATTGGGTGCGGAATTACATTTCCAGAGGGGAATTCTTCATCTTTCAGACAGAAGAAGAGGCTTCCCAGGACATAAAGGAGAAGATGTCTACCAACGTGGCTCCCACCCGTGGCCAAGATGTGCATGTGACCAGAGACGTGGTAACAGGGAATTTGAGACCATCTTGCTGGGAGAGGGAGCGAGAGAAAGGGGAGAGGCGGGATGCCCCCTGGAAGGAGCTATGGGCCATGGGGTCCCTGTTGCAGTATTCACGGGGACCCCACCTGAATTTCCTAGGTGAAGCACCACCTCTCGAAATCTAATTTGTCAGCCAATCAGAGTCAAGAGGTCCTAGAGGAGAGAACAAGAATCCAGTTCATTCGGTGGAGGTAAGGTTCTCCACGTGCTCCTTGCTGCAGGGTCCTGGCCAACACAGAGCTCAGGCACCCTTCTCCAGAGGCACCCCGTCCTTTGACTAAGGAATCTCTCAGCCTTCCTCTGCTGTCTTAGGGAATATTTTAGCTATCTTGAAAGCTTCTCTATTTCCTACATTTCTCAGTGACATGAGGGACTGGAAAACAGGGCTTTCTCTCCAGTTCATAAATGCTTCTGGGCATCTTCCAGACTTCTCTTAGTTTTGTACTTGAATTGTTGAGGAGTGGCTTCACTTTTAAGAACTTACAGAAAATATGCCCCTAAAATGCAAAATCCGAAGCCCTCACTGGCTTGTGCAATGTGTGGTGGCTTTCTAGCGTCTAAGGTTGGAATTCTGTGCTTTCTTACAACACCTGGTTCTGGCTCTGAGACGCTGACTCTAGGCAGAGAAGCTGGGCCTAAAGTCTTCTCCCGTGTCTTTCCCGGTACCCGTGTTTCCTGGGGACTCTGGGTCGCATCATCCCATTCCTCTGGGCTTTGGCTGGTTCATTGCAGAACCGTGAAGGAGGTCTGTCCTCTCTGTACTCTCCACGCCCTTCCTCTGCCCCTTGGCCAGCCCTGTTCTCTTCTATCAGGGAGTCTGTAGTCTCATTTTTGCTTCAGGACAGTGGGTTCTCATGTGTTTACCTTTTCCAGTGGCCTCTGCCTTTTAAGGGGATTCAAGGTGCAGTAATGATTTGACAGGAAGGGGTAAGGCATGGTGGAACATGAGCCACAGGAGCCCACTCCATGCATGTGGTTGACCATCATCCTGACAGGTCTGCGTGATGGAAATCTAAGCAACACATTCTTTGGTTTGGACAACTTGTACATAATCTTCAGATGTATTTTAAATCTTGACTGCATAACTAATCTAGTTTAAGTTTTGAGACATGTTGTATGAATCAGTCATATAAATTTTCCATTTTAGACTTTAAATAGAAACTTTGACTTCTACCACCCCCAATCCAATAGTTTTGGTTGAGTCCTCTTAATTTTTAGATAGTATGTAACTGGGGAATATTTAAAAGGGGGATTCATAAAGTTCATAAAAAAAAAGGAGCTAAAAGAGACATTTGTGGTTACGTGATTAAGATGCTGCTTTGGACGTCCACTTCTCATACCTGAACACCTGAGTTTGAGTCCTGGCTGTGCTCCTGACTCCAGCTTCTTGCCAGTGTGCACCCTGAGAGCAGTGGTGATGGCTCCAATCATTGAGTCCCTGCCAAGCAGGATAGTGTGGGAGGCCGAGATTGAGTTCTGAACTCCTGGGCTTAGCCTAGCCCAGGCTGTTACAGGCCTTTGGAGAGTGGACCAGTCCTATCTCTTAAACTTATTTCGAAAGAAGACTTGGATATTTATTTGAAAGGCAAAGACAGAGAGAGAGAGAGAGAGAGAGAGAGAGAGATTGTCCGTTCACTGGCTCACTCTCCAAGTAATCACAATGGCTAGGGCTGAGCCAGGTTGAAGGCAGCAGCCAGGAGCTTCATCTGAGTCTTCCGTGGGGTGGTAATGGCTGAAGCACTTGGGCCATGCTCCGCTGCTTTTCTCAGGCCACTAGCCAGGAGCTGGATTGGAAGTAAGCAGCCGGGACTTGAATCAGCACCCATATGGGATGCCCACTTCACTAGCTATGCCACAATGCTAGCCCTCTACAAATAAAACAAATCTTTTAAAATTAGAATTTTTTGTTGGTGCAAAATATTATGAAATGCATGTATGTTTTTCATAATATGTACTTTCCATGAACTTTTTGAAGAGTCTTTTTCTGCATGGGTTTCAAAATTTTTTTTTTAAAGTGAAACTTTAAGAAAAAATTCTTTTTTTCCTTTTCTTCTTTTTTTTTTAACTTTTATTTAATGAATATAAATTTCCAAAGTACAGCTTATGGATTACAATGGCTTCCGCCCCCCCCCATAACTTCCCTCCCACCCGCAACCCCCCCCTTCCCTCTCCCTCCCCCTTCCATTCACATCATTTTCTTTTTTTTTTTCTTTCTTTTTTCTTTTTTTATGGTTTTTTTTTTTTTTGATAGGCAGAGTGGACAGTGAGAGAGAGAGACAGAGAGAAAGGTCTTCCTTTGCCGTTGGTTCACCCTCCAGTGGCTGCCGCGGCCGGCGCACTGCGGCCGGCGCACTGCGCTGATCCGAAGGCAGGAGCCAGGTGCTTCTCCTGGTCTCCCATGCGGTGCAGGGCCCAAGGACTTGGGCCATCCTCCACTACACTCCCTGGCCACAGCAGAGAGCTGGCCTGGAAGAGGGGCAACCGGGACAGAATCTGGCGCCCTGACTGGGACTAGAACCTGGTGTGCCGGCGCCGCAAGGTGGAGGATTAGCCTAGTGAGCCGCGGTGCCGGGAGGATTCATTTTCAATTCTCTTTATATACAGAAGATCAGTTTAACATATATTAAGTAAAGATTTCAACAGTTTGCACCCATATAGAAACAAAAAGTTTAAAGTGCTGTTTGAGTACTAGTTATAGCATTAAATCACAATGTACAGCACATTAAGGACAGAGATCCTATATGAGGAGTAAGTGCACAGTGACTCCTGTTGTTGACTTAACAAATTGACACTCTTGTTTATGGCATCAGTAATCACCCTAGGCTCTTGTCATGAGTCGCCAAGGCTATGGAAGCCTTTTGAGTTCACCAACTCTGATCATATTTAGATAAGGTCATAGTCAAAGTGGAAGTTCTCTCCTCCCTTCAGAGAAAGGTACCTCCTTCTTTGATGACCTGTTCTTTTCACTGGGATCTCACTCACGGAGATCTTTCATGTAGGGTTTTGTTTATTTATTTATTTATTTATTTTTTTCCAGAGTGTTTTGGCTTTCCATGCCTGTAATACTCTCATGGGCTTTTCAGCCAGATCCGTGTGCCTTAAGGGCTGATTCTGAGGCCAGAGTGCCATTCAGGACATCTGCCATTCTATGGGTCTGCTGTGTATCTCGCTTCCCATGTTGGATCGTTCTCTCCCTTTTTTATTCTATCAGCTAGTATTTGCAGACACTCATCTTGTTTATGTGCTCCCTTTGGCTCTTAGTCCTATCATTATGAACAATTGTGAACAGAAATTGATCACTTTGACTAGTGAGATGGCATTGGTATATGCCACCTTGATGGGATTGAATTGGCATCCCCTGGTATGTTTCTAACTCTACTGTTTGAGGTAAGTCAGCTTGAGCATGTCCCGAATTGCACATCTCTTCCCTCTCTTACTCCCACTCTTATATTTAACAGCGATCACTTTTCAGTTAAGTTTCAACACTTAAGAATAACTGTGTATTGATTACAGTATTCAACCAAAAGTATTAAGTAGAACAAATAAACAAAAAAAATACTAAGAGGGATAATGTATTAAGTTGTTCATCAACAGTCAGGGCGAGGGCTGATGAAATCACTGTTTCTCATAGTGTTCATTTCACTTTAACAGGTTCCTTTTTGGTGCTCAGTTGTCACCGATCAGGGAGAACATATGGTATTTGTCCCTTTGGGACTGGCTTATTTCACTCAGCATAATGCTTTCCAGATTCCTAACAGGGATCACTTTTCAGTTAAAATTAAACACCTCAGAATAATTGTGTGTTAATTACAGAGTTCAACAAATAGTACTAGAACAAAAAAATACTAAAATGGATAAAGTATTACATTGTACATCAACAGTCAGGACAAGAGCTGATCAGGTCACTGTTTCTCATAGTGTCCATTTCACTTCAACAAGTTTCCCTTTTGGTGCTCAGTTAGTTGTTGCCAATCAGGGAGAACATATGATATTTGATCTTTTGGGACTGGCTTAATTCACTCAGCATGATGTTTTCCAAATTCCTCCATCTTGTTGCAAATGACTGGATTTCGTTGTTTTTGACTGCTGTATAGTATTCTATAGAATACATGTCCCATAATTTCTTTATCCAGTCTACTGTTGATGGGCATTTGGGTTGGTTCCAGGTCTTAACTCTTGTGAATTGAGCTGCAATAAACATTAAGGTGCAGACAGCTTTTTTGTTTGCCAATTTAATTTCCTTTGGGTAAATTCCAAGGAGTGGGTTATATTCAGGTTTCTGAGGAATCTCCAGACTGACTTCCATAGTGGCTTAACCAATTTGCATTCCCACCAACAGTGGGTTAGTGTCCCTATTTCCCCACATCCTCGCCAGCATCTGTTGTTGGTAGATTTCTGAATGTGAGCCATTCTAACCGGGTGAGGTGAAACCTCATTGTGGTTTTGATTTGCATTTCCCCAATTGCTAGTGATCTTGAATATTTTTTCATGTGTCTGTTGGCCATTTGGATTTACTCCTTTGAAAAATGTCTATTGAGGTCCTTGGCCCATCTCTTAAGTGGGTTGTTTGTTTTGATGTTGTGGAGTTTATTTATTTGTAGATTCTGGTTATCAACCCTTTATCTGTTGCATAGTTTGCAAATATTTTTTCCCATTCTGTTGGTTGCCTCTTCACTTTCCTGACTGTTTCTTTTGAAGTACAGAAACTTCTCAATTTGATGCAATCCCAAATGTTAATTTTGGTTTTGACTGCCTGTGCTTCTGGGGTATTTTCCAAGAAGTCTTTGCCGGTACCTATATCTTGCAGGGTTTTTCCAGTGCTCTCTAGTAATTTGATGGTGTTGGGTCGTAGATTTAAGTCTTTAATCCATGTTGAGTGAATTTTTGTGTAAGGTGAAAGGTAGGGGTCTTGCTTCATGATTCTCAAATCCAATTTTCCCAGCACATTTATTGAATAGACTGTCCTTACTCCAGGGATTGGTTTTGGATCCTTGATCAAATATGAGTTGGCTGTAGATGTTTGGATTGATTTCTGGTGTTTCTATTCTGTTCCATTGGTCTATCCATCTGTTTCTGTACCAGTCCCATGCTGTTTTGATAACAACTGCCCTGTAGTATGTCCTGAAATCTGGTATTGTGATGCCTCTGGCTTTGTTTTTGTTGTACAAGATTGCTTTAGCTATTCGAGGTC